TGATGATGATGATGAGAGTTGCCAAAAGGGAATTTCTAATTTTGTGATTCCTTCTACATTTATTAGTTGGTATTCAACTGTAAGGAAGAGCTTTCTTTTACCCCATTTATTTATTCATCCTCTCATTTGTATCTCTATGGACTCAAAGATTTTTACTCTATTTAATGGGACATAATTTATTACTATTGTTATTTATTTTGATATTTTGCCTCAGATTTCATCAGTATCAGCCCTTTCCACCTGACTCTTATGTCAGGTTGACATGTTTACCTCATTTTTTGAGTCCATCTTTATTTTCCAACACCAAATAAATATTTCAGGCTCATCTTGTATTTTCTCTTGCTCCAGCTTTCAAAATCAGCCTTTTCTCTAAGGAGTACTAGTTCCTTTTAGTGAAGAAAGAAACAAATTACCATTAAAAAAACAGTTTTAAAGCAATTCTATTGTTTTTATGGATCCGGTGTTTAGACTTTTGGTAAATGATCTCCGTTAAGGTTCCATTCCGCAAATGGCATTAGTCTTAATTAGTAATTGCCTCTTTTTTTTAAAAAAATTATTTATTTATTTTTGGCTGCTTTGGGTCTCCGTGGCCACGCGCAGGCTTTCTCTAGTTGTGGCGAGCGGGGGCTACTCTTAGTTGCGGTGCGCGGGCTTCTCATTGCAGTGGCTTCTCTTGCTGCGGAGCACGGGCTCTAGGCGCATGGGCTTCAGTAGTTGTGGCTTGTGGGCTCAGTAGTTGTGGCTCACGGGCTCTAGAGCACAGGCTCAGTAGTTGTGGCGCACGGGCTTAGTTGCTCCGCAGCATGTGGGATCTTCCCGGACCAGGGCTCAAACACATGTCCCCTGCTAATTCAAAAATAATTGTTACTAATCATAAGACAGGGAAGTCTTCCTAAACACGATACATTAGAAAGATTAAGGGCATGAATAGAAGCTTTAAATACAAAATTTTAAAGCTTCTGTATTAAAAGTAATTTACCTTAAATGCATGTAAAATTTAAAAGCCATCTGGGGAAAAGCAAACACTTTAAATATTTGACAGACATAAGGTCAATATCTTTAACATATAAATACTTTTAAGTCAGTAAGATATAAACAAGAAGATATCAACTCTTCCATTTCTATACAGTATTCTCTCAATCTAATTGCAGCCCATGTTAGAGCTTCACCAAGTGGTGTTGGTGCCACAGTGCATGAGGCTCCTGTGTCAAGGTATCTCAGAGACTTCCTCATCCCCAGACACGTTTTACCTCCTCTTGTGCGTTAGATTTTGGGTCCTCAGTCAAGGGGTCCCGTTTAGTCAATCTTCATCTTGATTTGTGTGCTTGACTCTTGCCCCAGGCCATGCCAGTTCAGGTTTCTCATTGTATTCTTTGCTTTCCAGCTTTTAAAAAATTCTTCCAAACTGGGGTAAATAGAGCAGACTTGTTTGGTGCATTTTATTTTATTATTTTTTAAATTTTATTTATTTATTTATATTTTTGGCTGCGTTGGGTCTTTGTTGCTGTGCGCGGGCTTCCTCTAGTTACGGCGAGCAGGGGCTACTCTTCGTTGCGGTGTGCAGGCTTCTCATTGCGGTGGCTTCTCTTTGTTGTGGAGCTCGGGCTCTAGGTACGTGGGCTTCAGTAGTTGTGGTACTAGGGCTCAGTATTTGTGGCTTGGGGGCTCTAGAGCACAGGCTCAGTAGTTGTGGCACACAGGCTTAGTTGCTCCGCGGCGTGTGGGATCTTCCCGGACTAGGGCTCGAACCCGTGTCCCCTGCACTGGCAGGCGGTTTCTTAACCACTGTGCCACGAGGGAAGTCCCCATTTCTTGCGTTTTTGATAATAGACATTCTAACAGGTGTGAGGTGGTATCTCATTGTGGTTTTGATTTGCATTTCCCTATTAATTAGTGATGTTGAACATCTTTTCATGTGCCTGTTAGCTGTCTGTATGTCTTCTTTGGAAATTTTTCTATTTAGCTCCTTTGCCCATTTTTTAATTGGATGGTTTGGGTCTTTTTGTTGTTGAGTTGTGTGAGTTCTTTATATATTTTGGATATTAACCGCTTATTAGATATATCATTTGCAAATATTTTTTTCCCATTTGATAGGCTGTCTTTTCATTTTGTTGATGCTTTCTTTTGCTGTGCAGGACTTTTTAGTTTGACGTAGTCCCATTTGTTTATTTTTGCTCTTGTTTCCCTTGCCAAAGGAGACCATCTAGAAAAATATTGCTAAGATTGATGTCAAAGAGTGCACTGCTTATGTTTTCTTCTATGAGTTTAATGATTTCAGGTCTTACATTCAAGTCTTTAATCTGGAACCCTATTCTTTAGTGGTTTTAATGGAGGTTTCATTGCTTAGGCATGGTTGATTAAATCACTGGCCATCAGTGATTTTGTTGCAGCAAATATAGAAATGAAGTTTTCCCTCTCCTGAGAACAAGGAAAATAAAGAGAACAGTGAACAGGCTAGAGAAGAAACATAACCTGGCCTGAAAGAGTTAATCACTCCTAGGTTTGCTGTTTGTTTTTTTTTAACTGTCACTAATCTGTAGTGTCTGTAACTAGATTTGTACTTCACAAAACTAACCTATTACTCTTTAACACTATGTGAATTACATCCTGCACTCCCTTGTAGCAAATCACCCCTTGTAGCATTTGCATTTCAGAAAAAAGGTAGCAGGTCTTTATAACCCAGAGACAAACGGACCCAATTACCAATTACCAGGCTGCCTGAAGCCATCTGCAACTGTTCTGAAATAATGCAGGAAGAAGAAGAATGTAAGACCTTCACTACTTTGATCCTTATCATATACGCTGGACTGTGAGCCCCACATATACAAATCTTCTCCAATTCCCTAAGGTGGGGGGCACAGTTCTTGAGGCTCTAGCCTGCTGTGTCTTCCCTTCTGCCTGGCAGAAAAATAAAGCCATCTCTCTCTTCCTCCAAAACCTCTGTCTCCGTATTTCTGTTCCACATCGGTACACAGAGAAGCTGAGATTTTGGCAACAATTTAAACTCAATCTCCAGCCCCTCTCACCTAAGAGGTCAGGAGTGGGGCTAAAAGTTTCAATCCTCTGATCAAGACTTGGTCTTTCTGGAAACTAACTCCCATCCTTAAGCTATCTAGTCCACCACCCTCCTTCCCCAACAGTCACGTTAGCATACAGAAGACATAATTATCGCTCTGGAGACTCTAAGGGTTTTAGGAACTCTGTTCCTGGATGCAGGGACAGAGACCAAATATATTTTTTATTATACCATTGCTATCCTAATGGGTGTGAAGTGGTATGCCATTATGGTTTGATTTGCATTTCCCTAATGATTAGTGATGTTAAGTATTGATATCTTTTCATGTACTTATTGGCCTTCTGTATAGCTTCTTTAGAGAAATGTATATTCAAGAAGATGTTTGTTCATTTTTTAACTGTTTTTTTTTCTGTTGTCGTTGAGTTGTAGCTCTTTATATATATTTTGGATATGGTTTGCAAATATTTCTCCCATTCTGTAGGTTGCCTTTTCACTCTCTTGATAGTGTCCTGTGATGGACAAAAGTTTTTAATTTGATGAAGTAGAATTTGTCTATTTTTTCCTTTGTCTTTGCTTTTGGTGTCACATGCAAGAAATCATTGCCAAATCCAGTGTCATGAAGTTTTCCCCAGTGTTTTCTTCTAAGAATGTTATCGTTTTAGGTCTTACATTTAGCTCTTTTATCCATTTTGAGCTGATTGTTATATATGGCATAAGTTAAGGATCTAACTTCATTCTTTTGCATTTGTTGAAAAGCCTGTCCTTCCTCAGTGAATTGTCTTGGCAACCATGTCAAAAATCTTTTGACCTGGGCTTCCCTGGTGGCGCAGTGGTTGAGGGTCCGCCTGCCGATGCAGGGGACACAGGTTCGTGCCCCGGTCCGGGAAGATCCCACATGCCGCGGAGCGGCTGGTCTGATGAGCCATGGCCGCTGGGCCTGCGCGTCCGGAGCCTGTGCTCCGCAAAGGGAGAGAACACAACAGTGAGAGGCCCACGTACCGCAAAAACAAAAAAACAAAAAACTTTTGACCTTACATGTGAGGGTTTACTTCCACTCTCTTGGACTAACGTTTTTTATTTTTTAATCCTTTAGATCATTACTATCCATAAAACACAAATTACATGAAAATCTCTTCATATTAACGGTGATTATGCTGAAACGACAGCACGAAACAATTTTAGGTAATAAACACATAATCTTTAATTCTACACATGTCTTCAGTGTGTTAGTGAAATATGGCTGCTACACAACAAAACCCAGAAATATGTAATATCAATTCAATTCAGTCTGATATTTTGCTGGCTTTCATTTAAAAACCATAGCTTTATATACAGTGTGTGGAAAATTGGCAAGCCCTGGTCTTCCTATTCCCCTTACGTTTATATCAAATGATCCATCACAGTACGTTTACACCTATCATTAAATTGTCAGAACAATGTTAAAAAGTCTGTATATTCTTTGAACTGAGTCCTCAGTTTTCTAAAAGCAAGCAAACTCTCAAAGAAACCCGTTCCCCTCCTCCCCACTGCATGGGACGGGACATCGCTGGAGAGATCTAGAAAAGACATTCTCTGAAACGGTCGTTAGTATTCCAGAAGTTTCAATGAGTAATGGGCAGCATCTGACACTCTGAAAACTCCAAACGTGGCATTTCCATTGTGATATTATGCCACTAGGCAATGCCTCTGTTCTGTCAGAAGTGTTCATTTATTCCACTTTTGCACATATGCCAGGGTCCCTCAGTAGCAGCTAGCCACCAAAAGTGCTGTCCGTGGCCTGGCGCTGGGCAGAGGTGCCCAACACCGAGAGGGACGAACCACAGCCCTCGTCAGAGCTCCCAGCTCCGCACCAGAGAGCCCCAGCGACTCGCCACCAACCCCACCCCTCGGGGGAGCGAGCCGCGGCCAATGCGCCGGCGCACATCCCGCCTCCTCGCTCGGCCCCGCCTCGCCGCCTCGCCGACGCGCTGCCGAGGACCCCGCCCGGTGCGGCCCGCGCCAAGCCCTGTCAGCTCGAGCAGCGCGGGGGCGGCGGCGGCGGAAGCATGGAGGGTGAGAGCACGTCGGCGGTGCTCTCTGGCTTTGTGCTGGGCGCGCTCGTCTTCCAGCACCTCAACACCGACTCGGACACGGTGAGCCGAGGATCGGGGCGGGCTCTGGCGTCACCTCAGAAAAGGACCCGCGCGCGCGCGCGGGCGCGCGCGCGCGGGCGCCGTCCCGGCCGCCGCTGCCCGGGTCCCGCACGCGGGCTCCCGACGCCGCCGCCGCGCCGGCTCTGTGCAGTCGGGGCTGCCTTCTCCCGCTCCCGGGCGGCCCCGGAGGTGCCTCCGGTGGTGAGCCTTTTCCAGAGTTAGCCCTCCCTCTCGCAACCAGTGTTTATTTCCGCGCCCTGCTCGGAGTGTCTCGCACACCTTCATTTCTCTTTTTCAGTAGTCCCCCTTTTCTGGTTCATTTTGGTTGTGAAGAAATAGAAGGTTCACATAGCGCTCTCCCGCTACCGCTCGCTGGGAAGGTTGCCGGTTAACTTTCTCCTAACTACCAACAGCGGTTTTCGCAAAGAACTCAATTTTCCCCTTCAGAGCAGCTACTGTGCACGTTTCTTGAAATGGAAGACTTGTAAAGGAATGAGAAATGATGCATCCAGTGGCTATTTTGGGGGGAATCTTAGTAGATGAAGAAGATTAATTTCGTATATTGGATAGCTGACTTTTGTTTGCATTGGTATCAAATTTATTAGCTTGTAAGGCCTGAGCTAGTTCCTTGTCGGATACTTTCGGTTGTAATTTAAACATTTAAGTTTATCCTGAAATATTAGATATTTAAATGCTTATTTCACACTTTCGCCTAGGTTCAAAACCTCTAGGTGAAGTAGTTTTTTTTTAAAAAAATACAGTACCTATTTTTAAAAACTTTCATTTTTATGAAATTAAAAAACACTGTAAAACTTTGAGTCTGAGAAGTAGTGTCCTAGAGTAAGTGTGTAGTAACTTGCTAATACGGTTTAGAGAATATCATACTGAATAAAACCTAGTGATTTCTGCTAAATTTTGTGCCCTTCACTTTATAATAAAGGCTTGCCTTATCCAAAATAGTTTTTTGGCGTAGTCCTAATAAGGCTGGAATTGCTATCTTTCATGTATGCAATTTTAAATACGCTTGTAGATTAACACGTAGCAAAGAGCAAATATATGATGATTTAAAATGTGTGTGGCTGTAGAAATTACTGTGGAATACCTTAGTGTAAACACAACCAGAGTGGGACTGTAAGTCCTCTGTAGCTTAAAGGATTAGCACTTGCAAAGTACCGTAGTGTTAGAGAGGACTCTGTTCCTTAGATCTTTTTCCTAAAGTCCTTAAAAGGTGTGGTTTGATGGAGAGCTGTACTTGCATTGTCTCTTTTCCAGGGGTTTGTATAGAACGCTAGAGAGTAGAGTTCTGTACTGTTCCCCTTTGATTCCAGCAAAGACTCACATTGTGGAAACATTACTTTTGTGTTTTTCTTTTAATGAAAAAAAAAACATTTCTTAAAGCATTTTTAACTAAAGAAGTTATAAAGACTGTAAAAAATTCATTGTCAAGCTCATTGGGTTTCTAAATGTGCCAAGAGAAATAAGTGAATTCTCTGAAACTCAAAGAGATCACTGCTATGGTGGCAAAATGCCTGCATTTTAAAAAGAACCGGGGCTCACAGCTCCTCTTTTATACAGCAGACTCTAATATTGAATTACAGGTCTTTGATATTGTGCACATGCTTAATCTAAAAGCCCATCCTGTGTCATTTCATAGCTCAGGAGCCTCCACTGACTCCCAGAAGCATGTGCCATTAATCCAGACTCCTTGGCCAGTCATTCAGGATGGTCCATTATTGGTGCTGTTCATAGCAACCTAAGATTTCGTTACAGATGGGAGGCTTCTATTCTCAGGCTAACTGCTCTACTCCTTGTTCCTTGAACATTGTGTTCTCATTTCTGCCTTTAAGCCTTTTATACTTCCAAGAGTGCTAAAGTCACAGTGGTATTTACAATCTCTTCTACTCGTGTTTTTTAACCTGGTTATGTTGCCCAGGTAAACTGGAATGCACCTAGTCTTTCTTTTGTGTGTGCTCCAGCTGGTAACACACGCTTGTACGTGTTGTAAAATTCTTGGGAAATACTGGTTAGTCAAGTGACTGAACTTGGAAATTCTATCCGTGTATTCCATATACTGCTTATTTTTATCCTTATAGGAAGGTTTTCTCCTTGGGGAAGTGAAAGGTGAAGCGAAGAACAACATAACTGATTCTCAAATGGATGATTTTGAAGTTATTTATACAATTGGTGAGTCACTTATTTCTGTGTCTTCTATTTTGATAGTTTATGCTGAAAGGGGTCAGTACAAGTTACTTTTTAAATTATTAAGAAATAGATATCAGGACTTCCCTGGGTCCAGCGTTAAGACTCTGCGCTTCCACTGCAGGGGGTGCGGGTTCCATCCCTGGTCAGGGAACTAAGGATCCCACGTGCCGCGTGGTGCGGCCAAAAACTAAAACAAACAAAGAAACAAAAACACCAGAAATAGGTATGAATTTTTAAAATCAAATTTTTAATTTTATTTATTTATTTATTTTTGGCTGCATTGGGTCTTCGTGGCTGCGTGTGGGCTTTCTCTAGTTGCAGCCAGCAGGGGCTACTCTTCGTTGGTGTGCATGGCCCTCTCATTGCAGTGGCTTCTCTTGTTGTGGAGCACGGGCTCTAGGCGCGCCGGCTTCAGTAGCTGTGGCACGTGGGCTTAGTTGCTCTGCGGCACTTGGGATCTTCCCGGACCAGGGCTCGAACCCATGTCCCCTGCATTGGCAGACGGATTCTTAACCATTGCGCCACAAGGGAAGTCCCAGAAATCAAATTTTAAAGGAATATATTGCACTCATTTCTCAGTTAAAGTTATGGCTATGCCCTAGTCTAAAGCAAGAAACAATATGAGACATAGGAAGCAGATTAAGATTACTGGGGGGAAAGAAGGATGAAATAGCTCCTGTGTATATGTGAGTGGCAGAAAGGTGATCCAGCAAAAGAACCAATAATAAGCAAGGCCAAGAAAAAAGATAAAACAGGTTCAACAGAAATGTAAAATGCTGCAGAAAAGTTGGAAGATGAGAACTGAAAAAACTCAGTGATTAAATAATTGGAAACCTTACATAATTTCAGAAGTGTAATGGGGAAAAAGCCAGACTGCAGAGGGTTTGAGAAGTGGGTGGTGAAGCAACTGCAGCTGGTGGCAGCTGTTCTTTCAGAGAAAAAGGGAAACGGAGCTTTAAAATACATAGGGAGTTTTCTGATTCTCTAACATATGCATTTTTTTTCTAAGCATATATATATATATATTTTTAAAACAAAATTGGTGGTATACTTTATAAAAAATTTGGTGTCATGATCAATTTCTCATAGTAAATAATCCTCTAAATATTATTTCTTATAACTGCATTCTATTCTCTATGGTCTTACTCTTATGACTGTATGTGATTTTAGTTGTCCTTTAAATAAATAAATTATAATCAGAGTTTCCAGTTTTTCATTTATCATAAATTATACTACAGGGAACATTTTGGTACATAAATATTCTACACCTATTATAGGTATATTTCTGGAAATGGTGTTACAGTGTCAAAGGGTGTGAACATTTTTAAGGTTCTTGATCTGTATTAGCAAATTGCTTTCCAGAAAGATTATATCAGTTTATACTCATACTGTACTTTTTGTTTGCTACTTTAAAAAGGTAAAAATTGAAGTATATATGTAAATTTAGTACATATGTATAAAGTAAACATATAAATTTAAACTCACCCATTAAAGTCACCTCTGTGGCAATGACTTGGTTTCATGAGTATTTTTTCACTCATTAATACTACACATAATACACACATATAAATGTATGTGTATTTTTATATTCTAAGTGGGATCATACTATATACATGTATAAATATCTCCAAGATATCGTTAGTGCAGAGTAGTATGAATGTGTATAGTTTGTCATTCTTTCTGATGTCTTCGTATTCCCGTTGTATGAATGTACCACAACGTACTTAACCAGCTATGGATGACTTTTTATTTTTTTATTAATACAAAACAATGTAACAATGCACATTTTATGGTGCATATATCTTTGTGCCTTTGAGTATATCTGAAAGCGAAATTCCTAGAGGTAGGCCATTACCTTTTGGAAGAGTCATGTCATCTTAGACTCCTCTACAATATGTGAAAGTACCAGGGTCCCCCTACCCTTATCACCATTGGGTATTATCAAATCTTTTAATCTTTGCCAACTTGATAAGTGAAGAAAAAAAAATTTTAATTTGCATTTCTTTTTTTTTGAAGTATAGTTGATTTACAGTATTATATTAGTTTCAAGTATACAGCATAGTGATTCAATATCTTTATAGATTATACTTCATTTAAAGTTATAAAATATTGACTATATTCCCTGTGCTGTACAATATATCCTTGTAGCTTATTTCCTTTATGTATAGTAGTTTGTACCTTTTAATCCCCTGCCCCATCTTGCCCCTCCCCCTTTCTAATTTGCATTTTTAAATTACAAATGAGGTTATGTGTTTGACTTTTGGGGAGACCTTTTTATTTGAAAAGAACACACCTGTTCCATGCTTTGACTATATTTCTGCTAGGCTGTTTTGCTTTTTCTTATTGATTTGTAATGCTATATCATAACTTAAGGAAATTGGCCTTTTGTCATGTGTTACACATGTTTATATTGTTTATAATTTTATTTTCTTAATGTTTTTCTTTCTGTTCACACGAGCGTAAAAAGCAAGCCCTTAGGAAGTCTTTTTTCCCTAATTGTAATTGGTGTGCTGCCCAAAGTATCTGACATATTTTAGGAGTTTAAATAAGCAACCATTTATCGAGCAACTCCACTGTGCTAGGAGCAGTGCTAAGCTTCAAGGTATCTGGCAAGTGCTGTAGTTGCACTCAAGTATTTGCTTAAATTATTTTAAAATGTTGGATTACTTTAAAACAGGTGGCAAGATCTACAAATTACTACATTGCTTTGGTTAATGAGATTTTCATCATTTTATTATACTGTGCCTTATCTACACCAGATTATGTTTGGCCGGTTATCAGTTACAGACTGTTTCTGTTCAGAGAGATTTATCTGAGGGTAACATATGTTTGCTGGAAGGAAAATATCTGAAGAGGATGATAACTTTTCCATTTTTTTAATAGGCTGAATTACTTTTATAGTAGTATATATATATATATATATAGTAGTATAATACCAATAACTTTATATACATATCAAGTTATTGAAATGGTGACTTCATGTAGTTTTCTCCTTAAAGATAGCCTTTGCATGTACAAAGATGCAAAGATGTCTGCATTCTTCAGATGTTTACTTGAAAAGATTCTTCAACAGCAGTTTGATATTGGGTTTCCTCACCTAGATGAAGATTCACAGATTCTCCATAATCAAACTGATGTCTTTGATTTAGGTGACAAATGAAATTGCTAGTACTCTGGGTAGGATCTCCCCAAGGAAGAGAACATCATAGTCACAGGAATTATCTGAAATAGGTGATTACTGCTAGAGTGATCCTGTAAATGGTATCTGACAAAATTTGATTGTTGACACAGGGACACATAAAGATGGGCTGCCTAGAAGAATATGTATTGTCTTGATGACTTTCTGTGTGAATGTCTCACTCCTTTCACTGTTCCCTACTGAATCTTTTTTTTTTTGCAATACGCGGGCCTCTCACTGTTGTGGCCTCTCCCGTCGCAGAGCACAGGCTCCGGACGTGCAGGCTCAGTGGCCATGGCTCATGGGCCCAGCCGCTCCGCGGCATGTGGGATCTTCCCGGACCGGGGCACGAACCTGCGTCCCCTGCATTGGCAGGCGGACTTTCAACCACTGCGCCACCAGGGAAGCCGTCCCTACTGAATCTTGAGGGATCTGAAAGTTTGGGATGATAGAGGAAACATTATATTCATCTTGATACTTTCATGATTTGTAATGATGTCTTGTGATAGAATTTAATCTGTTTGCACAGCACCTGCAGCAACCAGAAGTTAGATGTATTTAGATGTATTATTTCTATTGACAGGAGAATAAAACTCACCTCTTCAGAGATGTTGGACTTTTTTTCTTTAGTCTACAATTAACATTGACATATCCTTTATGAAAGAACCAGTTGGAATAACAAAAGAATTCCTTTAGCAGCTGTTTTTTATCAGTTGGGTAAAATTACAGCATCACAATTTCAGAACTCAATGACTATAGCAAGTGTGACTTAATCTTTTGTGTGGCCATTACTAAACCTATTTAGAAGGAGTATAGCATTCTATTAGTAGTTATGAGTGAGGTTCAGGGTTTGAATTTTGCCTCCACCAACTTAATCTCTCTGCCTGTTACCTCATCTTTAAAGTGGAAGGAGTAATAACATCTGTCTCGTAGGTTTGTTGTGAGGAATAAACGAGATAATGGTAAAGTACATCCTGGCATGAAGTGCTCAATATATGTTATTCAAATGATACTTAATGTAATCATAACTAAAAATTCTTTTTTTCCAGACATTCAGAAGTACGTTTCATGCTATCAGCTTTTTAGGTGAGTAGTAAGAGCAAGTAAATGATCCATTGTGAAAATTATTCTCTGCAAGTGAATTTTTGAAACTAACAAAGTATCTTAGTTATACCTGGTGGTACAGATTAAAATGTAAAGACTCTTTTTAAGTACCTGAAATTCACCTGTTCATTTCAACCCTAATAGTTCTTTCTCTGTATTTATCTGCTTCCTTTAGCTGGTCTTCACTGCCTCTCCCAGGTACCAGTTTACCTTGAGGATTGCTTTTCCTTCTCCCACCCAGTCACTTCATCGCATATTATAAACTCAGCAACACGTTCTCATACATTAACAGCAGCCCTTTTTTCTTTTTATTCCAGTTTATTTTATCATCTGTTTCTTCACTTATATTTTTTAATGTTATCTTTTGTCTATTAACTGGTTAGGTTCTTTATCTAACCCGCTTCCTATTACTTTTCCAGGGTGGAAACTTGTACTCATAGTCCTACAGATAGTAGTAGTACTCTTAGCCCTGATAGGCTATGATATTGTTAAAAACTTTTAATTGAGGTATTTACATAGAAAAGTATATAAATCAATGATGTTTCATAAAGCAAACAACTGTAACCATAAACAACACGGTGTAGTTTTGGTGAAATAGCTTTATGATTTATATAAACCATACATGAAAAATCAGCATTACTGTCTTACAGTCACACTGTATGTACCATTTCTAAGGTTGTGTAAGAGTTGCCATGGAACATAGTGTTAAGGTGAGAAACACCATTGGTAGGTGTGACAGAAGGCTTAGTGTGGTCTTAAACTGCTGTACCAGAAAGGGGCACAGCTCCTATATTGCCTAATAGACAATGCGTATAAAAAATATCTTTTGAATGAGGGACTCTTGGTGGAGACTCATAAATAGTACTTTCTTGAGGGACTCTGGGCCAGCAATGGATTAAGGAGGGAAAGTAAAAAAAAAAAAAGGTGATTCAATACCTTCTGGCAACTACCTTAAATAATTAGACCAACTTAATATGAGTCTTAGAGCCGAGGAAGCCATCTGATCCAGTGATGAGAAACCCATACCTAGGCCTTTTATTTATTTATTTATTTATTTATTTATTTATTGGCTGCGTTGGGTCTTCGTTGCTGCACATGGGCTTTCTCTAGTTGCGGTGAGTGGGGGCTACTCTTCATTGTAGTGCGTGAGCTTCTCACTGCAGCAGCTTCTCTTGTTGCAGAGCACGGGCTCTAGGCACACGGGCTTCAGTAGTTGTGGCACATGGGCTCAGTAGTTGTGGTGAGCGGCCTCTAGGGCACACAGGCTCAGTAGTTGTGGCACGCAGGCTTCAGCAGTTGTGGCTCGCGGGCTCTAGAACGCAGGCTCAGTAGTGTGGCACACGGGCTTAGTTGCTCCACGGCATGTGGGATCTTCCCGGACCAGGGATCGAACCTGTGTCCCCTGCACTGGCAGGTGGATTCTTAACTACTGCACTGCTGAGGGAAGTCCCTCAGCCTTTTAGCTTTACAAAATTAGGGGATGGGGGGAAGAACTGGTTAGTGGTAGGGTAAAATTAGTAGAATCCGGATTTCTTGAGCTCTAATCCAACAGCATACTATGCTGTTTCTTTTTGTTTTAAATCAGGGGTCCCCAACCCCTGGGCCCTGGACTGGTACCGGTGTGCGGTGGGTGAGTGAACAGAGCTTCATCTGCCGCTCCCCATCGCTCGCATTACCACCTGAACCATCACCCCCCACCCCCATCCATGGAAAAACCATCTTCCACGAAACCCGTCCCTGGTGCCAAAAAGGTTGGGGGCAACTCTTTTAAATGATGTAGATGGAACATGTTAAAAACAAAGTCTTCTGATACCATACTTCATGGAATCCGAGCTGGATAAGCTTTAATAACCAGGTTTATGTTTCTGATACAGAGGGTGGCAGAGTACAGCCCCATGGCCTGTTTTTATATGGACCTCTATGAATAGTTAATATATTTTTTAAGAGTTAAAAAAAAAAAAGAACAATGGAGGAATATGTAACAGAGACTGTCCAGCAAAGCCTAAGGTATTTACTATCTGGCCCTTTATAGAAAAAGTTTGTCAATCCTGCTCTGATACATTGGTTGCAAAGTTTGCCATTGAAATACACTGTTTCCCTTATCTCAGAAATCTAGGGGGAATTTGGAAAACAGCCCATTGAAGCCTAAAACTTAAAGTCACTTTAAAAAAATTGCGCAGTTTAACATGAATTCTACTGTACAGTATATCTATTTCTACAAAAAAAAAAACTGCCCCCCTTCCCAGAAGCTTCACATAAAAATCAATGCTTGCACAGAAGACGTACACTTTTATCCTGTTGTTTTATATACCCTGGTGTATTGCATTATGTCCCAGTTTGAGGAGCTCAGGAGTGGACCATCCTAGAGAAACACAGGAATAAACTCTTGTATTTAGATTTTTCATGTTGGAATAAATAGGTAAGATGGAAGGATCTGTTCGATGAGCTGAATTATCCCCCTTTGGTAGGTGGAACACTTTGTAAGTTAAAAAGAAAAAATATATTGCCTATTAGGATATGTTTTTTCCAGTTTTATGTAACTAAATTTTTTCAGTGTGTAGATTAGAATTACCAGTAAAAACCTATTATAATGAATAGTATTTGTCAGAGATTTTGCATAATAGATATTACATCATAGAAAAGAATATTGTTGATCTTGATGAATGTTAAAAAAGAGAATATTATTTGTAATCCCTGGAGGGGAAAGAAAGCTGAAAGTAAATGCTTTAGAATCTTTTAGAATTATTTTTCAATTCTCCCTAAATCTTTGACATTCCAACTACAGAACAGAAGTCACTAAACTAAACCAATACCTATCCTCCACCCCCCCACCCCCCCAAAACAAAAAAAACCCAACTCCTAAAGCACTTCTCTTAATTTAAGAATAGCTTTTGGAGGGCTTCCCTGGTGGAGCAGTGGTTGAGAATCCGCCTGCCAATGCAGGGGACACGGGTTCGAGCCCTGGTCCGGGAAGATCCCACATGCCACGGAGCAGCTAAGCCCATGAGCCACAACTACTGAGCCTGCGCTCTAGAGCCCACGAACCACAAGTACTGAGCCCACATGCCACAGCTACTGAAGCCCACGCGCCTAGAGCCCATGCTCCACAACAAGAGAAGCCACCGCAATGAGAAGCCTGCGCACTGCAACGAAGAGTAGCCCCCATTCGCCGCAACTAGAGAAAGACCGCGTGCAGCAATGAAGACTCAATGCAGCCAGAAACAATAAATAAAATCATAGAATAAATTTATAAAAGAAAAGGATAGCTTTTGGAATTAGCAATGAATAAATTGTCTTTATGGTATTGTGCTGCTTCATTACTCACATTACATTCTTTTGTATGTATCATTATTGTAAAAAAAGTTTTAATGAATAAATTGTGAACTAGCTATGTGAACTTAACAAATACCTGTATTTAATGGAGAGTTTGTTTTTTACGTTAAAAAAAAAGTGTTACACAAACTTATCCTTTAAAGTTCCTCCACTCCTTTTCCTTTTTCATTGCTTATGGACCGCATATTTCTAGCACTTTAAGTCTGTTAATTTGAGAACTTTCTCTCCTATTTAATTTAGAACTTCATCTAACAGGCAATAAGTATATGGATTTTGGTTGGGTAGTTAGGCTAGGAGTAACTACAATTAAAAGTGCTAATAAAATCATTCATATTTTTAGCTTATTTGAAATGCCTTTAATTTTGGCTTTTACAGCTTTTATAATTCTTCTGGTGAAGTAAATGAGCGAGCGCTGAAGAAAATATTATCAAGTGTCAAAAAGGTATTCCCTGATTTACCTTTCTTTTTTTCGTATTGTATGTATTATTTTCAGCTCGTAAAAACATGTAATACTTTGACAGAACTTTAAAGCAGCATTTGTCTTCACAATGTCCTATGTAAAGCAGGTGAGGAAAGGCTTGTTCTTTCCAGAAACTCAAAGGGGTTTCCCTGAAAGCAAAGCTAGTCATTAAAAATCTTCATCTTGTTCTCATCCTCTTGACTACTCTGATTTACATTGATCTCACGTACTCTAGGACTTAATCCATTGCTGTTCTTTTACTTAGCTACAAGTTACTATTTTTCCTAGTGCAGGGATGATTTCCTATACAGCACCTAATCTGGATCCTCTGTAGCCCACTTGGTGTTCAGTTAAAACTTGCTGAATGATCAAAATAGTTTTTTTTTCCCAAATACATTTTTTCTTGGTACTTTTTTCCTCTTAAAACGTTTTGAGGGACTTCCCTGGTGGCGCAGTGGTTAAGAATCTGCCTGCCAATGCAGGGGACACAGGTTCGAGCCCTGGCCCAGGAAGATCCCACATGCCGCAGGGCAACTAAGCCCATGCGCCACAACCACTGAGCCTGCGCTGTAGAGCCCGTGAGCCACAACTACTGAGCCCGTGTGCTGCAACTACTAAAGCCCACGTGCCTAGAGCCCGTGCTCTGCAACAAGAGAAGCCACTGCAATGAGAAGCCCGCGCACCCTAACGAAGAGTAGCCCCCGCTTGCCGCAACTAGAGAAAGCCCACGCACAGCAACAAAAACCCAATGCAGCCAAAGATAAATAAAAAATACTAACAACACATTTGTTTAGCGTGTTATAGTTTACAAAACCCTTTAATATGATCTTAATCTTGGAACCAGCTCTGTGGGGTAGGTGATAACATTCCCATATAAATTTCAATTAAAAGCTATTGGGTTCAGTTTACTTACTTAGCAAACCAAGTATCCATACAGGAAGTTAACTAGTTTTCATTGGTGTTTTCTTCATTTAAATTTTGACTAAGGGTTAAAAATGTTAAGACAGTAAATGCCATTAAGAGAAACTAGAGGAAGTTAAGAATTTATTTTCTTTAATCTGTATTGAATAAAATTGTAGCCTGGTAAGTAAATGGAAAGTAATTTAACTGCAAGTCAGTTTGCATGCTTTATAAAAGGTAAAGTGTATTCTTAAGTGTACGTTTTGTTTAATATAGGCCCCAAATCTTGGTAAATATTAAGAAAGCCATTTTTTTTAATTTTTAAAAAAATTTTATTATTTATTTATTTTTGGCTGTTTGGGTCTTCATCGCTGCGCGGGGGCTTTCTCTAGTTGATGCGAGCAGAGGCTACCCTTCATTGCAGTGCGCAGGCTTCTCATTGCGGTGGCTTCTCTTGTTGAGGAGCGTGGGCTCTAGGTGCGTAGGCTTCGGTGTTTGTGGCACGTGGGCTCAGTAGTTGTGGCTCCCGGGCTCTAGAGCACAGGCTCAGTAGTTGTGGTGCACGGGCTTAGCTGCTCCGCGGCATGTGGGATCTTCCCGGACCAGGGCTCGAACCCGTCCCCTGCATTTGCACTGGCAGGCAGATTCCCAACCACTGCACCACCAGGGAAGTCCCAAGAAAGCCATTTCTTAAAAAGTTTATTTATTTATTTTATTATTATTATTTTTTTTGCGGTACGCGGGCCTCTCACTGTTGTGGCCTCTCCCATTGCGGAGCACAGGCTCTGGACGTGCAGGCTTAGCGGCCATGGCTCACGGGCCCAGCCGCTCCGCGGCATGTGGGATCTTCCCGGACCGGGGCACAAACCCGTGTCCCCTGCTTTGCAGGCGGACTCTCAACCACTGCGCCACTAGGGAAGCCCAAGAAAGTCACTTTTAAGGTTTCCAGTTTTACTGCTTGATTATGACAGTAAGATACATAATAACTGTAACCATTAAGGTATTCGCCTGATGTTTTTCTATATTTTCTTTCAGGATGTGGTTGGTTGGTATAAATTCCGACGTCATTCAGACCAGATCATGACATTCAGAGAGAGACTGCTTCACAAAAACTTACAGCAGCATCTTTCAAGCCAGGAACTTGTTTTTCTGTTATTAACACCGAGTATAATAACAGAAAGCTGCTCTACTCATCGGCTGGAGCATGCCTTATACAAACCTCAGAAAGGGTAAATGTTGGCCAGTCACTGGCTGTTTTCAGCTAACAGAAAAATGTACTCAGTATTTTTATTGTACTTTTTATGGCTTACCAACTATTTTCGTATATTGTTGCATTAGATTGTCACAATAACCCTTTTTAGCCTTTCTTACCATCGGTTCTTTATATGGGAGAATGAAGGTCAGATAAGGAAATTAGAAGCCCAGTATGGAATGATGACTTGTGTTTCTGGCACTGAGGATTTGCTCTTATTTACCATAAGGTGGAAAAAATATGCATGCTTTAGGTATTGGTTGCTAAGGAATATAATGTAGAACTGAAGCCTGCATACCTGAGCAGCTTTTCTCTAACCTCTGCCAGGAAGCAGGGTGGTTCTTGAGGATCCACCAAAATGAGTTAATAGGACTCCCCACAGGTTATATAGACAACATTTTCATGGAGTATGAGAATGAAGTTAAAAGAGTACCAAGGGGGCTTCCCTGGTGGCACAGTGGTTGAGAGTCTGCCTGCCGATGCAGGGGACACGGGTTCGTGCCCCGGTCCAGGAAGATCCCACATGCCGTGGAGCGGCTGGGCCACAACAGTGAGAGGCCCACGTACAGCAAAAAAAAAAAAAAAAAAAAGAGTACCAAGGAAGAGTAGTTTTATCATTCACGAAAGATAGGATGAATCGCAACAATACTGCCTTTATTTTTACATGTGGTGATCAGTTAAAATAACCATTAAAGTATTTTTTCACAGTTATCTTACACTATGCACATTTCACAGTTTTTAAAAGCTATTTGCCTCAAGTCAGTAAATTGTGTCATGGATAAGTAGTAAGGAATGGGGTTTTGTTTTTTAATCTTGTAGGGGAAAGGTAGTCTATATACTAATAAGTAGATGCTAATCTTTCACTTTATTTTAAATTTATTTTTAAAAATTTTATTTCTTCAGGCTTTTTCATAGGATACCTTTAGTGGTGGCCAATTTGGGCATGTCTGAACAACTGGGTTATAAAACTGTATCTGATTCCTGTATGTCCACTGGTTTTAGTCGAGCAGTAAAAACACACAGGTGAGATTCCTCAACTGCTTCCCCACTAAACTTAACTCCTATTCATTTTTTGAAGTTAATTTTTTTTATTACACAAGAATAAAAATGAAAGGAAAACTGACTAATGACATTACTCAAGTAAACCAGACTTTTAATTTCTCAGTATTTCCTTCTAGCACCTGTCCATTTATAAAATACAAAAGAGAGGGGCATTGTTGTATAGCCTACATATTTTAACATATTTATTCTAAAAATAAGGAGCTAGCCTCAAAATAGTAATTTTCTAAGGCAGCAGTTCAGATTAAAGGCAAGAAATTAGATTGGATATGAAATAAAGACAAAAAATGAGGCTTTAGCCAAGACTTACTCATACTGTAGACTGCTGAGCTATAACTTTTTTGTGGGCAATAAGGGAATAATTAATGTCAGAAATAACAACACTGGTACTACAGGATACTTACTAAGTGTAAACTTTATGAGAATAATGGACTAGATTTCATTTATTTTTGTGTTCCCACAGTGCTTAACAGTGTCTTATAGAAATTGAATACCACATTTCATTGATACTAAGACACAGTTTTACATTTATCTCAAATTGGGATTTTTACAAAACATGCCTTAGAATTGTTTTTCTTTTTTCTTCGTGGTATATAAAATAATGTTGCCTCTTTCAATCAATGATGACTTAAACTCAGTAAAATAATTGACTGATCCTATTGCCAAGAAAGAACCACCCCCCCTTCAGTCTTTATCTGTTTTCATTGAACCTCTTTTCTGAGTCCTGGAAATAGTACTTAGGAGGCTAAAAAGTTTGCTGAGGTGAAGATAGATAACTAGGTTTTCTGGTTGGTTTTACTTATTCTGTAAATAAGTAGGTTGACAAAATCATGGTCCCTACAAAGCCAGTAAAAAGAATCATCTGTTGTTCCTCAACTACAAATAAATTTTTCATTGTATCATTAAATGAGTTCTGTACATTTGCCTGAGGAAATGATAATATTTTACAGCTCTAAATTTTTTAAAGAAGATGGATCTTTAAAGGAGGTACATAAGATAAATGAACTGTATGCTTCTTTACAAGAGGAATTAAAGGTAAGTTAAAAAAACATTTAAAGATCACCTATAGAGTTCATATCACATTGCTCACTGAATATATGTTTATGGATAACCTGACAGTTGATTAGACATAAATTTTTTATTAGTTTAGCTTCAGTAACAAAGGCCTCCATCTTGGTGGGCTACGAAAACAAAAGTTTTGTCTCACTCACATTATATCTTGGCTGCAGCTCTGCTCCTGTTCTAAATTTCATGTTCATTCTAGGATCCAGCCCATCTGTGGGACATGCTCTTCTCATGACAAAGGGAAAAGAGCAGGAAAGCTGGTGTAAATTCACAACAGCTCTTAGAATTTCTGGTCAGAGCTGGCCTGTCACTTCCACTCACATTTCATTGGCCAGAGGATGTCATGGCAATAGGCAGGGAGATATAACCCTTTTACAGGATAAAAAAGGGAGCAAATATTTGGGAACAAAAAAGTCTACAACAGTACTAAGTTCTACCTCATTGTGTCCATTCAGGTCCCTTGAGGGGAGGGAGCAGGAGTGGCAGGGAGACTTGCAATGTAAGTTTGACACCTGAGGAAGGAGACAGGGAAAGGAGAATGATTGGGTAGGAAGAGCTTTAGACTGCAAGGCCTGAAAAATTTCAGCCAGGCTGATGGAGAGTCTTTGAGCAAAGGCATCCTACAGGAATAGAATTATACTGATATCCTCACTGTGCTCAGTCGGTGGCTAAAAGCAACCTAGGGGAAGCATGACCTAAGCACAAGCACAGTAGTGGACCCAAAAAGATGGCACCTGGAACTGTCAGTCAACTCTGCTTCCTGCAAATGGAGATCTGAGTAGTATATTCCATGGCCACCATACTCACCAATAGAGCACACTAAGAGAAATGGGGTTAATGCATTTTACACACTGATAATATTGCACATTGTTTTTTAATATAATACAGGAATTTTAGAAAATAGGAAAACATCCAGAATCCTACCATTGTAACTTAACTCTTTGCACTTTCCAATTTTCTCCAGTTTCCCCCTAATGTATACATGCTTTTACATTGTTGACAGTGATGGGGACATAGAAATTTGTGTCATGATTTTTATTTGATGTACAATTAAACACTTTCCACATTTTAGTTCTTTTTAATAGCAGTATATTTCTTAGAGCAGTATATTAGAACTCTAATGTGAAAAGTACCAACTTGGGGACTTTCCTGGTGGCACAGTGGTTAAGAATCTGACTGCCAGTGCAGGGGACATGGGTTCGAGTCCTGGTCCAGGAAGATCCCACATGCCGCAGAGCAGATAAGCCTGTGAACCACAACTACTGAGCCTGCGCTCTAGAGCCCGCGAGCCAAAACTAGTTCGCCTGCGTGTCACAACTACTGAAGCCTGCGCACCTAGAGCCCGTGCTCTGCAACAAAGAGTAGCCCCTGCTCGCTGCAACTAGAGAAAGCCTGCACGCAGTAATGAAGACCCAACGCAGCCAAAAATAAATAAATTAACTTAAAAAAAAAAGTACCAACTTGGGCTAAATTAGGGAATGTAGGGGTATGTGAGAGGAACTGTGGGCAGAAGGCCACTGAGCTCTAGGAAGGAACTGGAACCAGGAGCTTGAATGCCATCAGAACTTTAACTCCTGGGAGTTCCCTGGTGGTGGTTAGGATTTGGCGCTTTCACTGCCATGGCCAGGGTTCAATCCCTGGTCAGGGAACTGAGATCCCACAAGCCACACTGAGTGGCCAAAAAACAAACAAACAAAAAAACTAACTCTCTCCCTTTGTGTCTGCCTGTTTATTTCCTTCATAGTATTTACAGACCTTGCTGTTTATTCACCCACTGGCTGACCAAAGAGCTAACCTATAGCTTCTGCATTTAATCTCTTCTATTCAAGAGATTAGGATTTGCCAATTGGCTATTGTAATTATCTCTGCTTGGGTCAGCTAGGGTGAAAGTTGGTGAAAGGGTTACTGGTGAACTCTTACGGCAGGATGAACAAGTTCATGAGAAATAGGCTGGGCAGATGTTCCATGAAGTATCCACTAAAACTGGCTCTAACAACCCATTACACTATAATTGGAAATTAGTTACTTCTGATTTGACACTATTCTAAGAAACATCATGTTATATAAATTTTTGTTACTGATCCAAGATATATTCCCAAAATGAAATCACTGAGTCAAAGGGTATTTATTAGTACTTAAAAACTGATGACACATAAGGCCATTCTGCTTTTCAAAAGTAGTTTTACGGGAATTAAAATCTTCAGTAGTTTTCTTTTGTAATAGTGAAAGTCACTTTGTTATTGGCAGTTTCTTAAATGTTTGCAATAAGTATGCATCTCAAAATAGTACAGTGTTTTTTGTTTTGAAGCAGTTAAATATTTTTGTTTTTTATTTCTGTGTATTATCTAGGAAATAACTTGAATGATAAAACTTTGTATAAATAGGAAGTTAATACATCTGGAAAGCATTTTGTAACCTATGAAGCACCATACAAATGCTTGTTGGTGAGTTCCTCCAGAAAATAGCAAAATAAAATAAAATTTTTATAAAGGAAAATATTTGATGTTATACACCATGAAGGATTTTATATTATTTGTGAACGTAGATTGTAGTATTACAATTTGGAACTTTATCTATGCTGTTAAATTACTTTATTTTCCAGAGTACATGCAGTAAAGTAGAACACAGTGAGAGAGCAGTAGAGAAACTACTAAAGGATATAAACAGATTAAAACGAGAAATTAAAAAAAGAAAGCAAGCACAGATTCAAGCAACACGTAAGTAAAAAGTTCACATATCACTACTTTCTGTGCTTTGAAGAAAAATTCTCACTGATTGGAATTATGGATGAGCTGCTTGCACTAACTGATCAATTTGTTCACTTTAGGATTAAAAATAACTTTCATTAATACTCTTAAATCCCATTGAACAGAGAACATGGTACTACTATAGATATACTACCTTGATTTTAAAAAATATAACAACTTTAATTTTCTCTGAGGATATTGTAGCATATAAATTTGGGATTATCATTTCTCTTAATTTAGATAATTCAATATGATTCTTTAAAGTCTCTGACTTTACTAACAAATAGATAACTATAAAACCTTTGTAGTATAAATACTGTATGTTGAAATATTTGTTTGTTTCTTTAGGAGAGAAGAATGTCCAGAAAGACCCTCAGGAGAACATTTTTCTTTGTCAAGCTTTACAGACCTTTTTTCCCGATTGTGAATTTCTTCATTCATGTGTTATCTCCTTGAAAAATAGACATATTTCTAAAAGTAGCTGTAATACCAACCACCATCTCAATGTGGTAGACAACCTGACCCTAATGGTGGAATATACTGACATTCCTGAAGCTAGTCCAGCTGGTAGTGCGCTGCAAATGATTAAGCGTAAAGCTTCAGGTACAGATGGTGGATGGCAATTCAAGAAGTCACGGCTGTTAGAGATACAGAACCAACCATCTAAAACAGATTCTGATAGTAGTAACCAAGAAAAGGCATCCACAGTGAGCAGCCCAGAAACAGATGAAGAGATTGAGAAGATGAACGGTTCTGGTGAATACCCACAGTCTCCTACCTTTTGATTCTTTTAGGCCGAAAGGAGATTTTTCATCAGAAGAAGGGTAAAGCCAAACATGCCTATTGTTTTTACTATGTTCAGCTCTTTGCAATAACACATAGGTAAGTTCTAGTTCATTTATTTTATAAAGTACTTTAAATTGAGTCAGTTCAGAATTTGAGTACAGAACAAAGCCTGGTAATGCAATGTTTGGGATCAGCAGTTGGTTAGTTAGGTGAAAAGGCCAGTTAAGTGGGACTCAAATGATACATAAATAAGGTGTCTATCAGAGATTTCACTTTAACATAAAGCAGAAGTGTACATTCGTCAAACTTTTGTTGCAGGGCCAGGAACTTTTTTACGAATGTGTTGGAGTTCCTATATAAATCAAACCCGTTACTTACCCTATATAATCCCCAATTTTAGTTTCTTTAAAGAAATTTGCAAAGCAACCTAAGTACAAAATGCTACTAGGTTTTTTCATTTTCCATTCCCAATCTTATTTGTCCTAAGCACACCTAATTTGACAACTATTTTTTTTAAAAAGCTAGTTATCTTTATCAAGTCTTCTCAGAGCCTTTACTTGGTTTTCACTGCAACTGAAACTTTATTTTTAATGCTCATATTCATCACTACAAAATACAACTGATAAGGTCTGGGAACAAAATAGATGACTCTTGGTAATGTAGAACTCAACAGGTTAAGAGTCATGGGCTTCCGTGTGATTTTTAAGGAGGATGTAAAGCCCCTGTTTAATCCAGTGAGTTGGTTAAGTGGAGGTTGGTTAAGAGAGCTTTTACTGTTTGTTTTTTCTATTTATCCTTTCCATAACAGAATTTCCCATAAAGCATACACATCACATGACGCCTTCATGCTTTACTCACTGGGTGAAATGCTGAACCCACATGTTGACCACTGCTCTTCCATCACTTATTTCCTAAATGATAGAGCAAATTCATAGCTAGTATCAAAAACTATCATCTTTTATCTATGTGTTAACATGCATTAGTTACCATGGGGTGTTTATGAAGCCCACATAATACCAGGGATGATTTGTGCAAATAATGAGTTGCTGTTGGGATTGCTTTACTAGTTACATAAGAAGCACAGGGCAGGAGAGGAAATGGGGTTCATTCTGAACCCTAATGTTAAAATAATTAAGTTTGATGTCCCAACTTTCAGGGTACTAAATGAAAAGGAGGAAAAGAATCCTTGTAGGACATTTTTTCTCAGTTATTCTCCATCTTTTGGCGATCAGTTTGTATCACTGGAGTAAGAGAAGATGATACAACAGATTGCCTATGGATCGGTTTATTTACAGGACACTACCAGTTCATGATAGACTAGTCCAGGAGTAAGTGTTAGGTCCTGTGACAGACAGCACCACTGTTCATCCCCACATAACATCTCTACAGAGGGAAGACCCATAGTCCTAGCCAGGCATAATTATTTACGTGTTAGAAAATCTTCCTTAGCAATTTCAAATCCACACCCTATCATGTGGAATTTGTACATTATATAAGCATTCCACTTTCCCGCACCCATATCCCTACAATACTATTTACAACACAGAATCTGGGCCTAAAGTAAAATCCCAATACACGTCATCCCTTCCATGTTTAACATCTCATTATCAGTGGTATGCTGTATGAGCTATTTGGGGGCCAGATATAAGTGAAAATCCCATAGTACCTTTTTTTAATTCATATGTATGTAAAATATAACAAGTATTAACATTTTAAATAATCTGATTTACTTAATGAACATTCTGATATGGAGAGGAAACTTCACACTTGAAACACTTTTTCCTCATATAATTTCAAATTATTAAGAATTAAAAACATAATACTTTATAGTTTGATAAGATTTAGCCTATCAGTTCTCTACTCAAAGGTTATTAAATCTTACAGTTTGAGCCAGTATTAATACCACACAACTATAAAATAAATTTATTGATGATAACTTTATAGAATTTATTCCCTGTATTTGATGTTACAAACTTTAGGGTCTTTGAGATATGCAGGATCCTTGTATGTAACTGGCATAAACCCTGTAAAGAGATAATGAAAGTTCTTCACAAAAGATAATGAGCAAAATTTGGTTAGCATAATTCAGTTTTTCAGATGCTCTTACCCATTATTTGAGCTCTCTTAATTGCTTTTGTGATTTCTTTTTGTTTCTTCCCACAAAGACCTATAAAAGAAATTGCTTTCTTATTCGTAAAAAATGCCAGTAATCAAAATGCATAACAAATGTCTATGTCATGGAAGGATTGGAAAACCTGTAAACAGCCAGATAGTAACTATCTTAGGCTTTGTGGGCCATACAGTCTCTATCATCATTACTCAATTCTGCTGTTGTAGCTCAGACACTATGGAAACTAAGCTATCTACAAAAACAAGTGGCAGATCCGATTCGGCCTATAGGCAACAGGCCCCTGGTTTAAATAATAGCCTGGGGATGATTATAGTATACTCCCAAACAGCAAAGCAATTTTTTTTAAGCCCAAGTTTTCTACATATTGTCAGCCTATAGTTAACTGAGTATAAGAAGACATGCAAAATAATTATCCTTTGGCCTAAGAAGAGGCTTTCTCAAACTAGCCATAGTAACTGGTGTCATAGTAATTTGTAGCACTATTTGAAAATCTGCCAGTTTCCTTAAATAACAGAAGTAGCTTTATATAAGTTCTTACCTACATTTAAGTTGCTATAATATATAGAAAACAAAATACCTGTTATGTGCCTTCCATAAATGCATCCAGTAAATGGAGAAATAAACTGGGATAAAAGCTGTTTTGAGTTATATTTGAAAAGGAAAAAAATTTACATTAATATACTTGTTATTCAATCTTGAATGGTAAATTAAAAAAAAACCTTATGCCACACCTTCAAGTTATGTAAAGGTTTATTAATACATTTCAGACAAACTTCAAAAATATGAATAAAAACACTGAATTATGTTCATTCTATTAATAGGTCATCTTTTTAAATAACTAAAGTAATCACTAAAGTTGACATCTCTTATCCAGTGTGTCAAAAAGTCTATACAACGGATTAATGAGCGTATTCTTTCAGTGCTAAAGCTGTTCTCTTGACTTTTCCACAGATAACTTTTCTCAAATACTGTTGCTTTTATAACAAGGTACAAAACACTTCATCTATCATGATAGGCTATCACATAATATCAGACTACAATGAGGTCTTCAAGATGCACAGGTACATCAGGCCGTTTGCTGTTATTTAGGTTTTATTAATTTAAATTCTTTAGCACTTTCTATGTACCAGGCATCATTCTAGGCACTATGCATAATCCTAATACGTTGCATTTTAAAATTCCTTGGCTTTTCTCCCACCAAGGCAGCTATCACTTTATACTACTGTCAGTATACTTAGCTCCAGCACCATTCTCTCCCCTAAATTTGCCACTTTTAATTTGCTGAGTGCTCGACAACAGATAAAATTACATTTGAAATAGCGATATTGGTGGTGAGGTACAGAGATCAACTTCACCAGAGGAGCTTTTCCCAAACTACTGAACTCCACCAACTGAGAATCACTGCCACAGCGAGCTACTGTAAAGACATTTTGGGCAAAGAAAAAAGAGGAATGCTAAGCTGAATTAACAGTAAATGAGGGACAGCCAAGGGGCTCTTATTTGAATAAAAGAGATGCCTTGTATCAATACGTAGAAGTATAACGAGATGAAATTATGAAGTCGCTAAAACAGTCACCCTACACAAAGCCTGTTATAAAAACTGACTTGCTTCTCTATTGTATTAATAAAGGAGCCAAAATCCCAAAATCAAGTATCATAGTGAAGTAAAACCAGATCTCACCTGTACATTCTTATAATCTACACGTTTTCCACACAAGATACATTTTTTCAGAGGCTCCTTATAAGGATTTTCCATTGGAACAGGCTAAAGGAAAAAAATATATGATAATATAGTTTGTATTAACTTTGAATCGAAAAAACTTAAAATCTTAGGTTACCACATTTAAATCTCTCCAAGGGATTAGTTGTACCTTTTTACTGTGAAAGAGAATACAACAGCTAGGCTTGTAAAGGAAAAATCGAGTATTTCAGAAAAAGATTCACTATTTTAAAGGTTTCAGTGTACTCAAACATATTTTGTGCAAGTGTCTTGTTTAAGTTTGGCTAAGGAGGAATTAAGTCATGGAGGAGGATTCTGGGATAAAATACAATCTTTGGAGAAAAAAGGGCTTATGGGAGGGGGAAAAAAAATTCAAATCTTCGATAAATGATTCTCTCCTCAAATGCTTTGTCCAGACTGTAGGTGACTAAAAACTCTCAGATTTAAATCAAGAAAAACTTAAGCACAACAGATACCATATGCAATTCTTAAATTACAATCCCTAAATCCATCCCCATATTTCTTCAGATGTTTTATCACTATTTCTCTTGTAAAAAGACAATGCAGGACTTCCCTGGTGGCACAGTGGTTAAGAATCCGCCTGCCAATGCAGGGGACACGGATTCGAGCCCTGGTCCAGGAAAGAGCCCACATGCCGTGGAGCAACTACCCCGTGCGCCACAACTACTGAGCCTGCGAGCCACAACTACTGAGCCCGTGTGCCCATGCTCCGCAACAAGAGAAGCCACCGCAATGAGAAGCCCGCACACCGCAACAAAGAGTAGACCCCGCTTGCAGCAACTACAGAAAGCCTGCGTGCAACAACAAAAAAAGCCAACGCAGCCAAAAATAATAAATAAATTAAGATAAAAAAAGACAAGGCTTAGCGTAATACTATCAGGTTCTTTGACTACAATTTTATGGCCCCAGACTGTTTTGTAAGTTTCTGTCAGCATTTTTCGTTTTTCTTTGTTCACTACTGCCTCTAATGCTTCTATCACAAAGGCCTCCCTCCTAAAATCAGTTTAGGTGTCTCCAGTATAGATTCTTAATGTAGAAATGGCTATGGAAGTCCCTGAACCGCTGTAGTTGTATGCCAATTTTCAAATAAATGGGACTGTGTGCCTTTTTCTGGGAGAGCCCATAGCTTTCATTAGTCTTAGTGGGTTTAATGACCTAAAGAGGAGCTCTAGTAATTTCCTTTACTCTCTTGACTATGGTGTGAATTAGATGACCGAGATGGACGCTCAGAGGGACTAGAGGGGTTCTTCTGTTTTTTTCCAACTCCTCAAATGTTCTTAATCCAATTTACATTCAGCTTACCTGTAATGACTGTGTTCCTTCTCTACACTGTGCAAAGTGCTTTATATGGTCTGATTAGTGTCAAATTATCTTTGCATGTAGCAAGAAAACCTATACTGCCCAAGCCCAATGATAGTACTTGAAACCCATAAAAATACATCTACAGTTTAGAAGAGACTGTACTTAATGTCCTGGTATAAAACTTTAATTTTGATCCCGCATTGATTAAAGCAGCCGCCACCCAGCCAAAGTGATGAATAGGAGGAAGACAGAATTGAATTTGAAATGAGGAAGAGAGCCAAGGTATATGTAAACTTTGTACAATCCCTTTGTTAGGTTTTCTGCAATTACTGCATGCACCAAAACTACCTTTTTAAATTCCCAAAGCACATATCTAGGAAGCAAAATATGGTGTTACAGAAGCCATGCTTCTTGCTGGGAATCTAGGGATTCTCTTACTTCAAAATTCACTTAAGTAACTACTCAATAAATTATAATTTTCCAACACAGACTAATGATTATCATCTTAATTGTTTTTGTCCTTCAGCTGAACTCTATTCAAATAGCAAAGACATAAGACTTGGTCGTATTTGCAAATGCTTTATTACAAGTAAGAAAAAAATTCTTACCAGGTCCTCATTGCTGGTTACCTGTTTATATTGTGAACAACTTCTCCACAGCACTGCAATTAAACAGAAACAGCAACGAACTAATTATTTTTGTTAGCTGAGCAGCTAAGGAAAGATTTTGCTTCTGTGGAGGCGAGATGAATTAAGGGACCTAACAGAAAAGAAAGGTTTTATGTTCATTATACTAACAAGGTTAAATGAAGGTTAAAAGTCTTCAGATTTGAGGCAGAGTTAGACTTAGGATAAATGTGCTTTCTGGGGCTTTGGGAAAAGGGCATATATATCTCCACCCATATAACCTCCCTGTTCCGGAAATTTATATTCCCTTCTCTCCATGGGAAGAGACAGATTTTAATGCAAACTGAAAGGCATTGTCATACCAAAGGAAAGTGAAAAGATTTTTACAGACAAGCACAAAGTAGATAAAAGTGCAGAAATGATAGATTCCAGGGCCCATGTCACAATTTCGCCCAGATCTGGGCCCTCAGACATCTGGAATTTGCTGCTAGGTGACTGAAAATGCTCCTTCCTTACCAAGTCTACCCGAAGATCTTGGGCAAGTCCCTGCCTCTTTTTAAGAATCACCCCATCACTCTCCTCGTACGTTTAAAAAAAAAAAAGTACTGGGCTATATTTCACGCCCTCTTCGGCTTTAAAATACTAGTCACGGCCACTACAGATTCCCATTTACCTTGGAGAAAACTGCCTAGACACCGGAGTCCTTTAGCTAACAGTGACGACTCCACCGACCTAATTAGGGCTAAGCCAAACGGCTGCAATGCTATAAAGGAACCTAGGATATGGAGACTTTACCTGC